TTTTCGTGCTTTTACAGCCTTACCTAGTCCAGACATGTCAAACACAAGGCCCGGGGGCCGGATGCAGCCCGCAAAGTGGTTTCATGTGGCCCGCGAAGCCATCCTGGAAACAGTGAGGGAACGGCCCCCGCTGCCTTGGCCCTGGCCCAGGCCGGCCGGGAGCCCATGTACAATTTTGTGGTGGCCATCTATGCTGAAATGCATTCAGTCTTAGCTCCACAAGGCCGTCTGGAAACAGCGAGGAACCAGCCCCTGGGTGCATGTCAGCCCCGTCCCCCGGGTGCATGCTGGGGAGGGGTCACCCTTTGTGAGGAATGAAGAAATGGACCATGCCTTGGCGCTTGCCCCGGTCCCACCCCCTTCTGCCAGAGACCCTCAGATCTGTCCCACTCCTGCCCAGGCCCCCACAGGCACCCTTGACGCGAACGATGTAGAGCTGGCCACGCCCACCCACCCTGGCCACACCCAGCCGGCCCCCCAAGGGCAACCGCAATGCTGATGCGGCCCTCAAATGAAATTGAGTTTGACACTCCTGCCTAGCCAGCATCTTGCCCCCCAGCCATCTGGGTCCTCATTTTACTGACCTGGGAAAGATGGAAGGATCGAACTGCTGGCAGCGGGCAGAATTAGCCTGCAACGCTGCATTCTAACCACTGTGCCAGCAGGGCTCATACAAGAGAAAGGAAGGAAAGGAGAAAGAAAAAGGGAGGGAGGAGAGGAAAGAAGAGGGAAATAAAAGGGGAGCAGGCAAGAAAGAAAGAAAAAATGGAGAAAAAGAAGGAAAAGAAAGAGATTAGAGAAGGAAGGAAAGAAAAGGTAGAAAGAAACGGGTGCGAAGGAACTAGAAGGAGAGAATAGCAATAGCACTTAGACTTATATACCGCTTCAGGGTTCTTTACAGCCTAAGCCAATGGTTCTCAACCTTTCTAATGCCGCGACCCCAACCGGTCATAAAATAAAATAAAATAAATAAGTCGAGGACTAAACCGGTCGTAAGTTGAGGACTACCCAACCAGTCCTAAGTCGAGGACTTTCCCTGCCCGGGAGCGCCGCGCATGCGTGGTTCCGCCCCCTGCACCGGCCGAGGCGTAGCTGGCAAGCAGCAGAGACGGAGCAGGCCGACCACCAGCTGGCCCAGCCCAAGGGAGGTAAGGCACCCGCCGGAAAAGGGGGAAAAAATGGCGGACAAAAAAAATGGCGGACAGCCTTGCTTGGCGACCCCCGTGAAATGGTCGATCGACCCCAAATGGGGTCCCGACCCACAGGTTGAGAACCACTGGCCTAAGCCGTTTACAGCTTATTTGCCCCCAAACAATCCGGGTCCAGTTTTTACCGACCTCGGAAGAATGGAAAGCCGAGTCAATTTTGAGCCAGTCAGGATTGAACTCCTGGCTGTGGGCAGAGTCAGCCTGCAATGCCACATTCTCACCACGGCGCCATCAGGGCTCTTAACAAGAGAAAGAAAGGACGGAAGAGGAAGGAGAAAGACGAGGGAGGAAGGAAGGAAGGAGAGGAAAGAAGAGGGAGAGAAAAAGAGAAGGGAAATAAGAGATTGAGGGAGCAGGAGAGCGAGAAAAAAATGGAGGAAAAGAAGGGAAGGAAGGAGAGAGGGAAGGAAAGAAAAGGGTGTGATGGAAGAAGACTGCAGGTAGATGATGTGGTCAGCAATTCCAGGGAGGCTCCACAATAATTTGCACCACTCAGGTGACCCTCAGGACACAGACAAACCTCCAAGTGGCCTCAACGACTCTCTCAAAGAAGGCAAATGACCGGCAGTCTGCAAGGAGTATAAATCCTTCCCTTCCCCACCATCCGGTCAGAGCTGAAGAAGCTTCTTCATTTTTGGCCCCGCTCAGGTACATCCCGGTGGGCTTGCTGGAGCGCCTGCCGCAGCGAATCAACGAGAGGCCCCCTTACTACCTGGGCCGAGACCCCTTGGAGACCTTGATGGCCAGTCAGAACGTGGACGACTGGGTCAAGATCAGGTAGGAGAGAGCGCCAGCCAAAAGCTCCCCCGGCGTCGTCGCCCTGGGAATTCCGCCATCCTCCATAATCCACGTTTCTGTTCTCTTTTTTTTCCCCAGCGAGATGCTGTTGGGCCGTGTTCCTGCCGACTTCTCCTTCCTGCCGAAGCACAAAGCGAATTCTTACAAATAGGGCGGATAAAGGAAGCATCGCCACCGTCCGTCCTCTTGTCGAACCATTAAAAGAAAAATCTCTTTTTTTTTTCACTTGGCTGCTGGTTGTATTCATTGCTTCTCCGACCTGTCCCTCCTTCCCCCCCCCCAGGACCTGTGGGTTTGGGCAGGGTGGGGGGCTCTGCCCAGCTGCCTGGAGGGCTCCGGCTCTCTTACCTGGCTACTTCCTGGGGAGCCTGAATGCCGCATTGAGAGCTAGTCCTCAACGTACGACCACTGTAGCGCTACCTCTTCAGAGGCCGCCAATGCCCAGGCCCTCCCAGCCACAACCCCCCTTGTCCAGCCTTGCGGTAATGTTCTTTAGAGATCGGTGAGATGTCTTACAACCGGAACTCATGCAGCGTTGATGGGTGGCAGGCTCTTCTTGTTGAAGCAGGACTTCCAGGCACGAACTTAACCAGTCTCAGTGGTTGATGCTCTGAAGATGTATATAACAGCTCAGGGCTGCTTTAGCAGCAGGAGTAACAGGCCCCTGAGCAATCGTTCAGAATCCGATGAGGTGGGGGGGGTAAACCCCGGCTCCAGATGGTAATAATAACAATGACGGCCAGTATGTTATGGCAATGGCTCATCCCCCAGGGCAACTCCCCCCACAATGTCCCAGCACCTATGCCAGCAGCGATGGCCACAGTCCAGATGCCTCCAAAGTCCACAACAGCAGTTGGCAGCAACAGTTGGCACCACCAGTCTCTCTCCTCCTGGTGCTTCTTCTCTAGAATTCCTCCTCAGGTCTCAGGACCCAAAACCACCCCCCTCCCTTACTCTTTATTAATAAAATCCGAGGCTAGAAACCCCAGCCAACTCCCTTACTCCACACTCTCGCTTGCCTCCGTCTCAGATATCCTCCCACGGAGGAAGCAATAAAACTTCACTCTACCTAGCCTCTATTTAAAATACCCTTGATAGAAAAATAAAATAGGCCTCCAGACCTTCTCTTCTCAACTCCAACCACCCCGGCCTTCTCCTTTTCTTTCCTTTTCTATCCTTCCTCCTTCCACTCACGCCAGCCACACCCAAAGCCAACTGCAGCTGTCCCAATCTTTTCCTTCCCAGTCAAGCTCCTGCAAGCACTCTCAGGCAGTCCCCGCTACACCACAATTGAGTTCAAGATTTCCACTGCTAAGCAATAGAATATAGAATGGGATGGGATGGGATGGGATAGAATAGAATACAGAATAGAATAGAATAGAATAGAATAGAAAATAGAATAGAATAGAATAGAAAATATGGAATGGAATAGAATAGAATAGAAAATATGGAATAGAATAAAATAGAATAAGGAATAGAATAGAATAGAAAATATGGAATGGAATAGAATAGAATAGAAAATATGGAATGGAATGGAATAGAATAGAAAATATGGAATAGAATAAAATAGAATAAGGAATAGAATAGAATAGAATAGAATAGAAAATATGGAATGGAATGGAATAGAATAGAATAAAATAGAATAAGGAATAGAATAGAATAGAAAATATGGAATAGAATAAAATAGAATATGGAATGGAATAGAATAGAATAGAAAATATGGAATAGAATAGAATAGAATAGAAAATATGGAATAGAATAAAATAGAATAAGGAATAGAATAGAATAGAATAGAAAATATGGAATGGAATAGAATAGAATAGAAAATATGGAATAGAATAAAATAGAATATGGAATGGAATAGAATAGAATAGAAAATATGGAATGGAATAGAATAGAAAATATGGAATAGAATAAAATAGAATAAGGAATAGAATAGAATAGAATAGAAAATATGGAATGGAATAGAATAGAATAGAAAATATGGAATGGAATGGAATAGAATAAAATAGAATAAGGAATAGAATAGAATAGAACAGAATAGAATAGAAAATATGGAATATGGATTGGAATAGAATAGAATAGAATAATGATAAGAATAGAATAGAACATAGAATGGGATGGAATGGAATAGAATATTGAATACAATAGAACATAGAATTAGAATATAATATAATGTAGAATATAATATGTAGTGATCCGGTTCCCATGAAACACAAGACACAGGGCTGTCTGCAAAAGTGAGAACCCCGAGTAGCTTCGTAAGCTCTCTTTTATTGAAATTTTACACATAGACCTCGCTCTCAAGGAGGAAATAACAACCTTCTGGTTAGCGATTTGCTAGACACAGACACAGATAACATTTATTTGTACTTCGTACGTGTTCCAACTGCCAGGGCAGTCTGCACGTACTTATACAATACACATCTTTGGTTAATCTCCACAATAATAGAATATAGAATAGAATATAACAATATAGAATATAGAATAGAATAGAACATAGAATTAGATAGAATAAAATATATAATATAGAATGGAATGGAATAGAATAGAGCTGGAAGGGACCTTGGAGGTCTTCTAGTCCAGCCCCCTGCTCGAGCAGGAGAACCTAATGCCATTTCAGACAAGTGGCTGTCTGGTCTCTTCTTAAAAGCCTCCAGTAATGGAGCACCCATGACATCTGGAGGCAGGTTGTTCCACTGGTTAATTGTTCTCACTGTCAGGAAGTTTCTCCTTAGTTCCAGGTTGCTTCTCTCCTTGGTCAGTTTCCATCCATCGTTTCTTCTGCCTTCCGGTGCTTCAGAGAATAATGTGACCGTAATTTCCTCTGCTAAGCAAGACAGTCGCTAAGTGGGTTTTGTCCCATTGTACAACCTTAAGTGGATCTGGCTTCCTGCTTGTCAGAAGGTCGCAAAAGGGGATCATGTGACCCCTGCATACATCATAAATGCGAATCAGTCGGCAAGCGTCCAAAATTTGGATCACGTGACCATGGAGATGCTGCAACGGTCCTAAGTGTGAAAAACAAGACAGGAACTGTTGTAAGTTGAGAACTACCTGCATTTATTTGTCCTAATATTTATTTATTATTATTATTATTTGAAGCATACTTTAGTATACACAGTCCTCGACTTGCAACTGTTCATTTACTGACTGTTCAAAGTTACAACAGCACGGAAAAAAGCGACTTGCGACCGTTTTTCACACGACCGTTGCAGCACCCCTGCGGTCACGTGATCCAAATTCAGATGCTTGGCCGCCGACTCCTATTTGCGACGGTTGCCGTGTCCCCTTTTGCGACCTTCTAGCAGGCCAAGTCAATGGGGGAAGCCAGATTCACTTAACGGCTGTGCCACTCACTTAACAACTGAAGGGATTCGCTTAACAACGTTGGGCAGAAAGGCGGCAAAACGGGGCAAAGCTCGCTTAACGTCTGAATTTCGGGCTCCGTTGCGGTCGTAACTGGAGGACTTACCAGCACTCCCTGTCTTCCACCCAACAACCCCCCTGCGAGGTGGGCTGGGCTGATGTGTAGCGGAGCCCACCCACCCCCAAGATGCCCCCTCCTGATTGCTCAGTCAAAACACCCCACCCCCACAAGGTAAAAATTGGGGGCGGTTGAAATCTTCCCCCCCCACCCCAAAGTCCTACCCTCCGAGGGTCTTCGCTCCACCTTCTGCCCATCCGGTCGGGGCAGCAAGTCCAGCTTGGCAGGCGCGGGTCCTCGGAGGGGGGGGGAGAGAAATCCCGCGCATATCCGCCGGCAGCGTCTCCTCAATGAGGACTAGCCGCCCTCCTTGCCTCTCCCTCCCTCGCTAGCTCTCCCAGCGCTCCTCCGTCTCCCGGGCAACGCGCCCCCTCGGCTCCCATTGGCCCGCTGGCGGCCGCCGCTGTTCCCGCCCTCTCCGCGCCGCTCCTATTGGCGGGACGGAGAGGCGCCGGAGCGCGCGCTCCCATTGGCCCGGAGGGCTGCTCGTCTCGGAGCGGAGCGAGGGGGGGTTCCGGTTCCGGTGTGTAGGAGGCGGCGGCGGCGGCGGCAGGAGCAGCAGCAGCAGCAGCAGCGCTGGCGGCGAAGCGAGGCTCGGAGGGGGCCGGGCCCAGCGCGGCGCGGACACGCCAGGCCGACTCCCGCCCGGCGCCGAGCCATGAGGAGGCGGCGGCGGGAGCAGGAGCAGCAGCAGCAGCCGCCGCCGCACCCCGAGCCCTGAAGGGAGCCGAGGCAGGCCGAGCCCCGTAGGCCCCATCCCGCCAGGCAGGCGGCCTGTCCCCGCCATGGACAACCAGGTGAGGAGGAGGAGGAGGAGGAGGGGCGAGGCGGCGCCTCGGCCCGCCCTTTCGCCCCCCCTCCCAGAAATGGGCGGGGCCAGCCTTCACACAGGGCGCCGGGCGGCCACGCCCACACCCTTTGGAGGGCGGGGTTTGGCGGCAGCAGAGCGGCTGGCCACGCCCACCAGTCCCTCGTGTTAGGCCCCCCCCGCCCATCCGAAGGAGAGATGCGGGTGGGAGGGGGCGGGGTGAGATTTCTGGGGTGCCATCCCCGTTGAATTGCGGGGGGGGGGTGAGAGAATGTGAAGATAGACAGCCGGGGGGGGAGGAGCCTGCCCGTCTGAAGGGGCGTGGCTTCCTCAGGCCTGGGGGAAGGAGGGTGGGAGAGCCAGGGGCTGTCCCTCCCTCCCTCCCTCCCAAATGGGGTCCCTCGTATTGCTGGCAGCTCCCCCCTCCCCGTCCATTGCATTTGGGGACTGCCACCCCCCC